CCCAGCCTCAGCTCTACATCTCCGATGGGCTTCTCAGCACTTCTTCCCTGCAGCACATTCCGGAACTTTCTACTGCACAGAAATAAGTGACAAATCTCAAGTAGGGACTGGTGAGCATCTGGAAACCTTTCTTAGCTTTCCTTTCTCTAACAAGTACAATCAGTACCCCACCCACAACACCTTAGCCCTTCTTGAAAGCCTCCTCCAGATTTAGTGGAGGGTTCCTGTACATACTGGTGTCTTGTTACTTTGTGTAGTCCCATCTGTCTGCAGGAGTGCATTCTCTAGCTGCAGGAGCTAGCTTATCCACCTGGACAGCATTGCACAGCCATTTTGTTAATACTCCTGGAAGCAATCCTCAATCACTGTGTACCTATAGGTGTCAGTAGGCAGGTCATCCAATTCCCTTGCCCCTCTGTGGAACAATGCTGAAAGGTATTCTGCACAGTCTTTTAGAGCACCCTCAGTGGGACTGTCATACTAGCAGCAGCTCCTTCATTGTGCTTCCTGGGAATATCTTCTCAAATGAAGTGCTTGCGCCTAAATCCCTGATTCAGCCTCTACTTTGCAGAGTACCCAAATCAAGACCGTTTCAAAGCTGCATTCCTATCACACCATCTTATCCCCCTTAACTGTGGCCAGCATTTCTGTGCCCTTTACCTATAATGGCTTCCTACTTCTCGTCCGTCATCACCTAACTATTTTTCAAGAATTCACTCAGGTCTTTTTTTATAAGAAAAGCACAAGGAGTGGTTGCTCAACTCTTTGAACTTTGAAAAGAACAGTTATCCCTTCTTTTTGATATAACCTTTGTTCTCCAGGTCCTTTGGCCTAGTCAAATCTATTGACAAAACTGCCATGGCCAACTTTGTTCTATTGGTTACTTGCTACAAACTTAACATTTCCTAGAACTGCCTCAGTCCCAGGTTCACACTTTTCTGTCTCTTTGACTCCAGGAGCATCTGCTCTATGAGATTATCAACTTCTCTAATCAGCTCCTCCTTATCTTTCAACCCCTCCAGCCCAGGCCTAACCTACCACTCCATACTGGAATTTGCGCCTAAACTCACCAGTCTCTTGACCCCTTCCATCTCTCCAACTGCACAGAACCCAGCCCTGCATCAATCTCCTTACTGTCTTTCCCAGTGGTCTCAGAAATACTGCAAAGCAGTTAAAGAGAATTCACAGAAGTTACTTGTGTAGTACTGACTCCATCACTATTTACTATACGACCCCGGGCAGCTATGTAGGTTATTTGCCTGCAAGTTTCTATAAAGAGAAAAATAATAAAGCATACTGCTTATTGAGGTTCAGTTTTTAAACACCAAAGACACAGCAACCCCTTAATGACCAGTTATATTGATATTTTTGTATTACCATGTGCCAGAATTAATTCCTCTAATAAGGCATTTAGAATTAAGCCTGTCACAGGGTAGATGCTCTAGAAATACTAGTGGCTATTGTGATCACTTGTTTCCTAGGGCAGCTGTAACAAATTACTACAAACCGGGTGGCTTACAGCATCAAAAATGTGTTTTCCCACAGTTTTGAATGCCAGATGTCCGAAATCAAGATCTGTGCAGGCGTGGCTCCTTTTGAAGCTCTGAGGAAGAATCTGTTCTCTGCTTTTTTCCTAACTTCTAGCAGCTGCCCCTTGGTCTGTAGCTGTGTAACTTGTTTCTACAACTGTATACACATGACCCCCTCCTCTGTGTCTCAGTCTCCAGTTCCCCTCTGACTTGCTGTTATAAGTATACCTGTCATTGTATTTAGGACCCACTCTAAATCCAGGATAATCTCTTCTAAAGATCCTTAACTTAATTACGTCCACAAAGACTCTTTTTCCCCAGCTTAGGTCACATTCACAGGTTCCACTGATAAGGATTGGAACATATCATTTTGGGGACACTATTCTCAACCCTCTATAATTTTTCTCTGTTATAAAGAGTTTCAATGAAAAGGTGAGAATGGAAACCAGATTGCTGAGGATTAAGAGATAAAAGTTAAGAAGGAATACAGATGGAAGGATGCTTGGACCAAAAAAGGGATTTTTATTTCTTACCTGGCAGGAACTTACACCACTGAGCTAAACCTCTGGCCCATAGGGATTTTTATTCCTGTATAAAATGTAATAAACTTTTGAGCCTCTTGGGAGAAAAATAGGTGGAGACACAGGAAGGACTTCAAAGATCTTACAGATTTATAAGAAATGGAGTGAGGATCTGGCCCCAGAACAGACTCACCATTAAAAAAAAAAAAAAAAACTGGGGTTCATTGGATAATTCAATAAACCCCAGAACGGGCCAGCCACAGACCAAGAGTAGGCCATGCAACAAGTCGGAACAGAGGAATAGCCGGAGGAAAGAAAGGTGAACCAAGGAACCACCAACGGCAAGAGAAAACATAACCAACCAAGCCTTTGCTGGAGGAGCTTGAGACTTAAAAGGGCTGACTCAGAGATCATTCACTGGGCAGCTTACAAAGCACTCATTAGTTTGTCATCTGAAGCACCGAATACTGCTGCAAGGCAGCAGAGCTATAATATCCCTTGGATGGAGGACGAAATGGAGACCCAGAGAGGTACTGGAGTTACTGATGGACACACAAGTTAGTTGGAGTGTTCCTCAGCGTCCTCAGTTGAGGAGCAGGGAACTCAACGAAGTCCTTTGTCCAGCAGCAAATAGGGACATTCATTGCGGCCACCATCCAGAAATAGGCACTTTTTTAAAATACTTGTTTCTCATTTAACTCTCCTCCCTGTGCATCTACAAGATGGTTCTTTCCTGGCATGCCACTTGTCAGATTTTTCTCAAGAACTTTTGAGAGTGCCTGTTACTCCTTTATCCCTTCACAATAGGTGTTGTCCAAGCACTTCCATCTAAACTCTTCCAAAATGAGTGAGGGCAGTCTTCAGGTCTAATTCTTGAACTCCAGTCTATGATTTCCAACCTACTAGGCCCAGTGGTGCTGACTCCAGATTCAGAGATCCAGTGCCTGCTGCATACGGCAACACAGCTAAATACAAAGTCCAGTGCCACAGACTTCAAACCCAACAGACCCAAAACCAGATTCATTTTCTCTCTTCTAATGCATTAGTATCTTTTGACCCTTCTTCCTTCTCATGACATTATGGCCTAATTCAAGCCCACATAGCTAACGTTCTCAGTGGTCTTCTGTCTTCTGTAACATCCTTATCTACAGAGGCTTTTCCGGTCTTATCTGTCTCCTAGTCTTTGTTCAGCCCCTGCTGTTCACTCCTGAGTCCCGGGTATCCACACTACCTCAATGGGAATAATTTTTCCCTTCTGTCAGATGAGGACTCTGAAATCCACATGAACCATGCAGCTAGAAACAAGACTAGCACTTGCATCCAGCTCTATGTGACTGCCCATAGGCCAAGGCTCCTCCTGCCATGCCTGCTCAAAAGGAACAAGGGAGAAAAGAAGCCACTTTCTAAGAATGACTATGTTCCCACATAGTAGGGAATTTTTCACTTACTACCTCACTCGCTATAATCTGGAAGGTAAATAATATCAGCACCAGCATACAAAGGAGGAAAGTATAGCCAAGGGAGTGCAACCAGCTCCTCGGTCATCTACTGAGGCAAGTTCATCCAGACACAGAATCCCACCCCTCTAAAGTGTCCACTTCCCCCAGGCCCTGCACACGCATCTCAGCAGGAGCCCTCTGGATCAGCAGCGCTAACCCTGATACCTGGCTCGGACCGTGACTTAATTTGGAGATAGGGTCTTTGTAGAGGCAATCAAGTAAAAATAGTCATTAGGAGTAGGCCCTAGCCCAATATGACTGGTGTCTTTATAAAAGAAAGGAAATTTGGACACAAAAGCAACATGCATAGAGGAAAAAAGATCTAATAAGACAAGAAAAAAAGCAAGGAACCCCAATACTGCCAGAAGCAATAAGAGGCATCTGGACAGATCCTTCCCCACAGCCCTCAGGAGAAGCAACCCTGGCAACACCTTGATTGCAGACTCCCACTCTCTGGAACTGTGGGCTGATGAATTTCTGTTGTTTAAGTCACCCATCTATGGGACACTGCTGGACAGCCCCAGTAAATTAACATCAGGAGAAAAATAACACCCAACATGGGCTCCTGATGATGCTCTCAAACAAATGATTTTCATGCTTTCAAATTTTTAAATGTTGTACTGAAGAAAATTGGGAAAAGATTAGACAAGTGTAAAGAAAAAGATTAAAAACACATATCCATTCACATTACTGTTGGCATTTTTGTTGCAGGAAGCTGAGTTAGTTAGAAATATTCTAGGCAGTGAGACAGGGCTAGGTCCTCAAAGGAGCCAGGGCATAAGCCCAGATACCTGGCAGCTGCGGGGCAGACATACACCTCTTGCTGTGGGCCAGGCCTCAAGACAAAAGACCAAATAAATGCACCCATATCCTGAGGATTAATATTCTAAATAGTTCCCTATCACCCTGAGGAAGCCAGGAGTCCCATTCCAACCCCCTAGGGAAGAAGAGTCACTGCTCCTTAAAAATGCCTGCTTTCTACGTGACTGGCTTCCCCATCTGTCCCCAAGGTAATCAATTTTACCTAAACTACTAATCTTATTGGCTAACTTTAGATATGTCCCACCTTATGCCCATCTGCCTTATGAGTTCCTAGTTTTCCCCACCTTGAGCACGTCTCACCCCATGATTTTGCTCTATAAAAGTCCCTAGAAAAGACAGAGTCCTTGGCAACCTGCGTGGGACTCCTTCTGTCTCTCTTCAGACAGAAGATTTCTTTCTCTTAATAAATATATTCTACTCTTCATCTCCATTATTTCTAAAATTCATTCTTCGATTTTAGAGAACACCAACTCCTACCGAACATAGTAGGTTGAGAGTTTCATTCCCCTTTATCATTTTGGTGAATTTTCTTGTATTTTTTTGTTTGCTCCCGTCTCCCCTTCCCATGGAGCTGCTAGAATCTCCGGGCTGCTGTGAAGCTTGAAAGAGCCTGAATGAAGTAAACTTACCTCACAGTTCAGCACGCTGCACAGCAGATATTATGCATATTTATAGAGACAATGTATAAAATGAGAGTCATGCTGTTTTATAACTTCCTCTCTTCACCTACTAGCTTGATTATTTCCCCACATTTAAAATTCTTCAGCAGCACGGCATTTATTTTCTGCATAACCTTTCATCTACAAACATTGCAAAATCTGGTTACCCAATTCTTTTTCCTTGGACATTTATATAATTGCCAATTTTTCCTGGTTATAAATAAGGCTGAGATAAATCCTCCTGAATTTAAAATACACCTCAGAAACAGCATTGTTACATCAAAGCGTATCTCCTGTAAAGCCTTTTGTATGGACTGTGAGATGGTCCTGCTGGGCGGCCCCGCAATTTACCTCCCCAGCAGTGACACAGCCACTTACTTCCCCAACCTTACCAGCATCTGGTGTTTTCTCTATTATTGTTTTGACCAATTCTACAGAGAGGAAAACCCAAAATCTCCTTTTCATTTGTACTTTGAGACTTCTAATGTTTTCATAAGGTTTTTTGTGTTTCTTCAGTGAACTACGTTAATCATCCTTTGCCCATTTGGTCCACTGGTCAGTTCCTCTCATTGTTAGGGGTTTAAGGGGACTTGAAAGGCTACTGCAGATGGGAGCCCAGAGCAGCTTCCTCCCCGCCCTTCTGACCCTCCTTCTACCCCTCACCATCCCCCAGGGCTTTCCTTTGCTCTCCAGGGAACCTTTGTCATTCAAACTGGCCGCTGCTTCCTAGGGCCCTGGGAAAGTCCTCTCTCACTGCCCTCTCCACCTTTTGATACTTTCCCTCCCAGAGCCCCACATTCTTGCGCCTCTCCCCACCTCTCCCCACACCCTGCACATCCTCCCTCGAAATTCTTCATGGAGGCCCAAAGCCACAAGGGACCCACTTTAATCTAACCCTAGGTTAGGAATCCCACCCCACCCTGCTCAGGCCTGAGAAGCAGAGAGATGCAAAGAGGTTTGGAGAAACAGTTGGCCTCAGAAAAATGTCTGGAAGAGACAGGGAACAGTGTGTATGGAAAAAGGACCCGTCTCTGATGTCTTGTGATGACTGATATCTTTTTAGAATCCAGGTGAGACTCACAGTCTGTCATCTCACCACCTTGCAGGGCTGCAGTGAGAGGCACCGGAGTACTGTACACGAAGCTTTCTGGCACAAATAGGCTCACAGATCCCCACAAAGGCCCTGGACCAAGCCTGGCTTCTCCCAGAGAGCTGGGCCTTGGTCAGTCAGTCAGGTGCACTCCCCTTGGGGCGGCAGCGGGTGTACGACAGGCAGAAGGAATAGCTTGAGGGGCCGGAGGTCCTAAGGGTACAGCAGAGTCTGTTCAGGGAAATGAAGGGTCTTAGGGCACATAGGGGTGCCTAGGGCAGTGGTTGGGAATGAAAGGGAAGCTCAAACACCAGCTGGGGCCAAAGGCAGGACTCCAGGCTGCACTGGGTTTAGTACCCACCTGTGTCCAGCTTCACCCACTCAGTCGCCCTTGCAGACACTGGTGTGATTGTCCGGTCTGTGCCAGTGTGCTGCGGATCCCACCGTGGGGAGAAAAGCTGGATCACAGTGATCAGAACAGAGGCTCAGTGATTAAGACAGGCTTAGGACAGTGACTAAAACTGAGGTAGAGGATGTTTCCTCTTCGAGCTTTGCCTCAGGTGACAGGGAGTGGGGGAAAGGGACTTGGCACGCGGAGGGTGGCGTGAATCCAGACTGAAAAGAGAAGTCAAGCTCCTTTGAGGGTGGCCCAGCAGTCCACGAGGGTGGCACTCAGGTGAAGGACAGGATGAACCGGGCGAGGGGCGCCAGGGCCGGAATCCCAAAAAACCAAAGCTGGGCAAGGCACGCCACAGCCGAGTGCCACAAAGACCGGCTGGAGGAGGCAGCGCCCCCGGCCGGGAAGCGCGAGGAGGGGCGGGGAAGGGAGCTGAGGCCCGGCGCCCCCCGCCCTGCCCGCCCACCGGCCCGCTGCACGTCTCGCTCGTAGGCCCTGCGCCCGGGCAGGTAACAAAGCAGCCAGTGTGCTCGGCGGGCGCCCGGGGCGGGTCCTGCCAGCCACCTGCGGAGCGAGGGTGGGCGCCGAGAAGGGGCAGGGGGTCTCGCGAGGCGGTGGCACACGCGTGCCAGGGCTCTGCGGAGGCGGCGCGGCCCCCGTTTACAGACCGAGTGGCCGAGCCCCAAAGGACCCGGGTCGTGGAGCGCGGGGCCGAGGGAGGGCTGTGCTTGTCCTCGCCCCCTCCCATCCCCGGACCGTGCTCCTAGGCTCGGGCGGAGTTCGGGCTACTTAAACGTCCAGGTGATTGCTCAGCCCTCCGGGAAGCCTCATCTAGGAGGCCACCTGGGTGGGCTGGTTTCCAAGTCACTCTTAACCCAGAATTTAGAAACAGTCTTGACCCTCTCCAGGAAGGGGCAGGAGTGGCGCCAAGAAGGTCAGGGGGCGGCCAAAGCCCTGCTTGGTGACACTACTTTGTGTCCTCATGCCCACGGAATGCCATATTAGGTGCTCGTAGTGCCCCCAAAGACACGATAACCACTCGTGCGCTGTATAGACGTGCGGATGGTTCCACGCCTGACCTCCCGCATGTGCGGGTGGATAGCTCACCACCAGCCCTCAAGGGCGCTAAGCTGTCAGGGAGAGCTGGAGAAGAAACACCTCCGGATCCATCATCCTCTTCCCTCCCTCAGCCCACTTGTTTGGTCCTGGGCCCTTTTTCCTCTGCTGAGGGCAATCCAGGGGCAGTGGAGGAGAAGAACAAAAGCACTTTGGGAGGGAATAACCTCTGCCTGGGAGTGGCAGCCCTCTCATGGCCCCAAGGCCTAGCCCATTATTTAGGCCTCCCCGCCCCCATCAGAGCTGCCAAATGCAGGCCAGAGGGCCACCCAGGGTAAGCTTTGCGTTTCATGGGAGAAGTGGGAGCTGAAAAACTTCTTCCAGCAGGAGAGGGCTGGGGTAAGAGGATGGCGACCGCCTCCATTTCCTCATCAGTACAGTGAGGAGACCCACCGGGCTGATGGCCGGGACCCCAGGCCCCTCCAGTTCTTCCTTTCTGGACTTCTATAGAGCTTTACTAGCAGACCTGAGGAGAGGGGGCGAATGCCCACACTCTCTCCCCTGCCCATACCACCCAGCCCAGAGCCCCATTTCTGGAAGAGGAGCAGAGAAAAGCTCTGGGGCACAGGTAGCTTAGCGCAGTGTCCTCTGGGTCAACTAGAAAAAAGTGAAACTGATACAGGGGAATGAAATAGCCGACTTACTAGATGTCCGATACGAGTTCGTGTTCTCTAAAATCAAAGAATGAATTACAGGAACAACAGAAGTTCAGAGCAGAATATATTTATTGAGAGAAAGAAAGCTGCTGCTTGACAGACAGAAGGGATCCTGAGTGGATTGCCAAAGACTGTCTTCTCCGGGGATTTTATAGAGCAAAACTATGAGGTGAAAAGGGTCCAAGATGGGGAAAACATGGGAACTGGAATGGCAGACAGACATGAGGTGGGACAGAACTATAATCAACCAGTAAGATTAATTGTTTGGGTAAAATTGACCAAATCAGCGACAAGTGGGGAAGCGAGTCATGTAGCAAGTGGAAATGCTTAAAGAGCAGTGACTCTTTCTCTAGGGAGTTGGGATAGTGACCACGGGCTTGCTTAAGGTGATCCATACCTGCTTAGAATATCAATCCCTGATGTTTATACTTATCCACCTAGTGGTTGCATTTGCTTTGCCTTTTGTCTTGAGGTCTGGCCCACAGCCTAGGTGTCTTCTCCCCCAATACTGTGAGGTTTCTGGTCTTCTGCACTGGCTCCTTCCAGGGCCCAGCCTGTCTGACGACCTATAATATTTCTAATTAACTCAGCTGCCTGTAACAAAACCACACTTCTTGCCTCGGGCTGTCCAGGCCACTGAGAAGGTCACATATATATAGATGCAGGCCCTAGGCTGAGAGAAAACAAATGAATAGATGAAAAAGTGGATGAGTGAATGAATGAAAGTCTAAGGCCATGAATTCATTAGGATAGAAATCCCTCTGCATGTTCAGGCTGGGATTTGTTGCAGGGGGTCACTGCTGTGACCCTGGTTTGGTCAGGTACAGTCTCCCAGGAGCTAGAAAGCCCTCTGGCTAGCCTGACAGCCTCACAACATCCAGAGTGAGTGTTCTGATGTGTCCTGCTCCCCACCATGTTGAGAACTCATTCTTCCCAGGACCTCTACGCCAACAGCCCCTATACCAAACACCTGTGGCCTGCAGAACTATAGCTACACATGTGTTGAAAGCTAAAAGACCAGGGGCTGGGGATTTAGCTCAGTGGCATAAGCACCTGCCTTGGAAGCAGGCAGTCGTGAGTTCGATCCCCGGTACCGATAAAAAGACAAAAAAAAAAGAAAGCTAAAAGACCTAGATTGAAGATAGGCTTGGCCATCTCTGCTTTATAGGTTTAGGTCTTGTGTAGCACTGCCTCGGTATCTAGCCTTCCCCATCCCTCCCTTTATGTCTACTGGGATACCTGCGCTAACAGCTCCCCAGAGCAAAAGCTGATCTCCTCTGTCTCTGTGCCCACCATTGCCCAGCGTTGTCCGATATAAGGTCAGGCACATGTTCATGAAAGTCAGTATCCATTGAATTAGGGATAAGTGAAAACATTTTGTTAACCAGAAAGAGCCCTGCAAATATGAGGCCTTTCATCACTTTGAGAATATTTTAAATCACTGATGCTCAGAACATGAACATTTTACTGAGTCCCTGAATCCTCCTACTTGACAGATTAGGAAAATGAGGCCTAGAACATGAAACATCTGATCAGAGATCACTCATAGAGGCTGTCTCACTTAGACCCCTCGTGAAGTCTCCTAATTCCCAGGGGAGAGAGGCCTTCCTATCAGAGAATCCCTTCCCCACCATGGGTCCCCCAGTGCAGACCAAGGAAGCCCAGCAGTAAGGTCCCTGTCTTCCTCTCCCCAGTGACTGCCTTCCCCAAGAAACTTGGTCATGAGTCCTGGGAGCCCGGGTGTGGGTGGCTAGAGGGAGGTATCCTTGAGGGCCCAAAACAGACTGCTCCTGTGAAACTCTACTCAGGGCGCACTCTGTATGTGCATGTACTGCGGAAGGCAGA